ATTAGGCGATCTCAAAAGTGAGCAGAGAGCTGTTGAGAGAACAATTTTCATTCATCCAGCCTTATGCACTGCAATGTGGGGGCCCTGCTCTTGTACCTGAACCCCAACGTCGGTGCCCAGCTGCTGTACACCGGCAGTCCAATCAGGACTGCCGTCAATGTCAGTACAGACCAGCTACGCAGACATAGCATGACCGGGAAAAAAGCAAAATACCTCATTAATGGTGGGGAAATGGGGAGAAATTGGGAGGGACACCACTAGAGTGCTCAGTGGGCCACGCCATTAGTGACCACACCTCCTGCAAGGTCGCCCATGTTGTAGATGAGGAAACCGAGACAGCCAGGAAGCCACATGACAAAGGTCACCCGACGGGGGAGGAGCAGAGGTGAGACTAGAACCCGGGTCTGTCAAGGGCTACAACATCATTTCCTTGGAACCAGACAGGGTGTGGTGGAAGTAGGACAGACAGATGTTCCTGGCTCCAGCTGCAGTCTGTTTCCAGGAGCTGGTGGGAGGCAGCTTACTGGGAATACTGGGCCAACATCAACACTGGGAGCTGTGACCACCCTGGAGCCAAGACTCCAGATGCCCCCAGTGCAGACTAGCTCTCTTCAGGCAAGTGAACAGCCACAAGTCACCTCTAGGAGCTTGGCCTGTAAACCCCACACTGCCTTAAAACTGGCCCTTGCACCCTACATCATGGGAGAAGAGCACAGACAGAATGTGGGACCCTATCCAGAGAAGCAGCGACACCAGAGATGGAGGCAGAGATGGAGACATGGAGACAGGGAGCATCTGAGGACTCTAGACTCATGGAAAGAGAAAGGCTGTGTGCTGGTGGCCAGGAGGCAGGCTTGCAGAATGTGCTCTTTGGCTGTTTAAATGATTATATATTCCTGAGTGCTTCTGTGTACATCCCCCACCCCCACCTCACCCCCAAAACAAAAACAAGGAATGGAAGCAAATCCTGTTGAATGATGATGCACTGAGGCAACTGTAATCATTGCAGTGAAATGATGGTGTAAAGCTGATGTTCTCCCTTGTAAACTATCACTCAGTTCACAATAAAAACTTAAAAAAAACAAAAAACTGTCCCTCGTTCCTTCTAGGAGTCAGGGGTGGGCCTCATTCACCTGTATATGCCCAGCACCCAAGCCAGGGCCTGGCACCAAGAAAGTGCTTGTACCTAGCTGACTGGGTGAATGAATGAATGAACGAATGAATGCCTATGCCAGATCCTCACACACAACGGCCAGTCATCTAAGGTGCCGTTACTGGTCTCTCCCCACCCAGAGCTAAGAAGACTGATGAACATCAGAGGCCCGTGGGGCCAATGAGTCCATTCAGAACCACGTGACCCCAGTCTCCGGGAACCTGAGACAAGAAATCGGTGTGGCCTGGCTACTGCTACTGGCTGCTCTGACAGGGATCGAAGGTCCCAGCGAGATGGGAGAAACAAGCGCAACAAAACGCAAAATCATAAAAAAGACCAGGCTTGCTGGTCAGAAAGACACCTTAGCCACCACTCTGGACTGGAACTGGATGCATCCCCATGGCTCAGTTTTCAGTCAGACAACAGACAGGTCTCTAAGGGGATCAACAACAATCGGGGGTGCGCACCCCTTAGAACCAGGGACCGTGGGAGATGAAGTGGACAGCACCGTCCCGAGGACCAAGTGCAGAAAGGTTGGGAAAGGAGGAGGCTTGGAAACAGGAGAGCCAGGGAGGATGTGGGCTGAGTGATGTTACCTTCCGGGGACTGCAGTCAATAGCATGAAATAATGTGTATGAATTGTTTAATGGAAGGAACACTGATCCGCTCTGTGAAACGTCACCCAATTCACAATAAAAAGTGAAGACAAAAAGACCAGCTCCAGGTTCTTAACACACGTGAGCTGTGCCCAGGAACGTGTGCCAGATGATCCCCTAAACAGCTGTACTGTGTCCAGGCAGGGCGGTCAGGAGGAACGTTCTAGAAAAACAAGGCACACCTTCCTGACATTGGGCCATGAACCCAAACGACAGACGTGTTGGTTCTGCTAGACCTCACTCCTGTGCCCCATCCATCACTCCCTGGCTGTAGATGGAAGCTTGAAAGTTCACCTCCCTCCCCTCTCAGCTCGGGAGTCCAGGTAAGACATGCATTCCTGTTTGTGTGTATAAATTGCCATAATGGTGAAATATCAAGACTGTGCCCGTGGAGAGAGCTGCTGTGAAATCTGGCTTTTCAGGGAAAGGAGGAGGGAGAATGAAAAATTTATTAAACTCGGGCCGCTGGGACCAGACCACGAGTTAAAAGATTCACATTCATCCCCCTTCCCGATAATGTATGATTTATATTTGCAATAACTGGAGTCACCAGGAGCTCACTGTGCACAGCTGCAGGTCCCAGGATAAGCATTTCCGTGTGAGGGGAGCTGCATCCTCAAGAAAACAGTCCAACGCGAATGGACAGAGAGGTGAGGGGAGCATGCGCCCTGGACCTGTCTGAGTAGCCCCGAAGGAATACTCAATACAGCGCCTGTACCCAAGTCACCTGGGACAGCAGGACCCGTGGGCCAAGGAAATCATTCTGCTCCACACACTGGGGAGACACAGGAGCTAGGTCCATCCTGGAGCCCTTTTGGTCAGCCAGACTGCTGTAGGACACTTCTGGAAGGTAGAGTCCCCAGCCTCGGATTGGCCACCCAGGAGGACAGACAGAGCGTCTGGCCTGTGTTGAAGTCTGAACCCATGAACCTGTGGGTGAGGCCTTCCGCTGTGTTGATGGAACCTAGTGCGTTCTGAGGTTTAAGCACACGCATGCACAGGATGACATTTGCCAAGAAACGTCTCAGAGATCAGAGCAGGTCGACACCGCTGGTTTGGACTTTCACCTCCAGAGGGAGGAGAACAGGAGCTCCTGTTCTGTCTGCAAAGCCACCACTTCATGGTGCTTCAGTCACAGCGCCTCAAGGTAGGCAGGAGTGTACCTCAGGTCTTACAGAACTCTAACCACCAAATTACGGCGCACCCGGCAGACAGCCGCACAGGAAAAGACAATGATGGTGGAGGTGGCCACAAGAGGGTCACAGGATGGACATCTGAGCCAGGACTGGGCAGGAGGTAGGAGACAGAAGGGACAGTTTCCAAGGACAGGGGTCTGATGGCCAGCTCAGATTCCCTCGATCACCTCCTTCCATCTGAGGTACCAGAACACTCAGTACCTCCTCACCTCAGGACGGTGGAGCATGATCCTCACAGGGCTGTCCCTCAGGAAACTCTGTGCATGTAAATTTGCCTTTCTAGAAACTTCCCAACTCTCGCTCCCATTCCTGGGATGGACTGGGGCTGACGGTGGTACCCAGACGAGAGGTTCCAAGTGGTTCCTGGTAGTCCCATTTCTTCCCTGCAGACTGCTGCCAGCCCTCAAGCCCACAAGGGGTTGACCATACACCTGATGGTCCCCGTCAATGAACTGGCTCTCAGGAGGCAGGCAGACAGCCCAGCTGAGGAGACACTTCTTTCCCAGAATCGCGTGACTCTGGGTTGCCAGTCTTAGGTGTGACTCAAACTGCTTCTAGAGAAAGGGATTTTGCAAAATGCACTGCCTGGAACCCACACACCTTGGGGCAGCCCCCAGGAATGTCCTCAGTACCCAGCCCACAGCAGGCACTCCAACACAAGGTTCTGAACACGAGTCTCATCCCAGTCTGTGCGACACGACGTAGGAGAGGCACGGTGCGAGTTGCCCCAGAAGGAGGCCAGCGTTCAGCTGGAACAAAGGGCGATAAAGAGGGCGGAAAAGAGGAAGTCACATGGCACATTGTCCACCAGGGACAGGGGCAGCCCAGGCTGTCACCAGGGAAGACCTCAGGGTGGGGCAAACCGTCTCCTCGCTGTAGGAAAGGGAAACTACCTTAGCAGCAGCCATGTGACCCCAGCTCATGGCCACAGCCACCCTCACAAAGCCAACTAGATTGTCCACTCAGGAAGCGCCCAACTGGGAAGTCCCATCCACCTCCTGGAGGCTCTGAAGCCACAAGGTCAAACAGCCAGGAGGGCCTGGGGGCCAGGTTTGGGTGTGTGGAGGGGAGCACAAATCTCTTAGCAAAGGAGGAAGGTGGGAGACTGAGGGCCACAGAGCTCCACCTGCCCTATCAGTCCAGATCACCCTGAACCCACATATCTCCCTTTCTTTTAGCCTATGCTTTGAAGTGACCTCTGCTTCTGGGAAGAGTAGCTCTACCCCTACCCAGGAGGCCTCGCGGTACAATGGCTAAGCGCTGGTTTGAATCCACCCAGCAGTTCTGAGGGAGAAGGCTGGCTGCTATCTGCTGCTGTGAAGACCGAGAGCCTCAAAACCCCGTGGGGCAGTTCTACTCGGTGTGGTCAATCCTACAGGCTCGCTCTGAGTCAGAACGGGCTAGGCAGCAGTGGGCTTTGTTTAAACTCTGAAAATGGATCCCTGGTGGTGCAGTAGATAAGCACTTGGCTGCTAACTGAAAGGTCAGAGGTTTGAATCCCCAGCCGCTCTGAGGGAAGACAGGTGTGGCAGTCAGTTTCTGTCAAAATGAAAACAGCCTCCGAAACCCTACGGGGCAGTTCTACTCTGTCCTACAGGTCACCATGAGGTAGAATCAGCTTGATGGCACCAACAACAACTCACCACCCACACAGCATCCAAGGGCCAGTCAGAGTCCTCCCAGACTGAGGGGAAGCCGCCAGCCCATGCCCACTTCAGCACCAGCCCCTGGCACTTGTCCCTGAGGGTACACAGACATGACCCTTCCACAGAGTCAGACCATGGGCCAAAGGCAACTCCCACATCCATCCCCGGAGATGAATGAATGAAAGGAACCACACGCCCCTCTGCGATCTCTCAGACACGTGAGGAAAATCCACGAGGCGGCTCTGCTCGGGAACAGCTCAGGAGCTGCTGGCTGGAGCGTAGCCACCATGTCCGCCCCTGCATGGTCCCTCTGCCTGCCCACCCTGGCTCTCCCTGCCCGGCGCCTTACTCAGCCAGCTCCTCCAGGCTCCGGTATACGTCATCGTCATTCTCCGCGGTCTCCTCTGAGGGAAAGGGCCTGCAGGACAGAGAACAAAAGTGAGGTGCACAGTCTCAGGGGTGCCAGACAAGTCCCTACAGCTAGTCCCGAGGCTCAGTCCCAGAACTCAAGGGCCTTATTCTGCTCCTCCTTCGAGGAAGGACACAGGGTCTGATCGTGCCAGCTGGATAGTCAGGAACTGCGTGTCCAGGGGCCCTGGTGCTGGAAGACATCCTCCTCTGTGGGTTCAGCGTCCCTACCAGCAAACGAGGGGCCAGGTGGGGATGGGAGGAGCCTTGACCCAGCAGTAGCTCTGCCGCCACTGTGGGGAAGGTGGATACCCCAGATACCACCTGGCCTTGGGCAGAGGGTCCGGTGCCAGCTCTGTGCACTCTAAGGAGCAGCAGCCCTCCACAGGGGGAGGGGAAACAATGGTGGCCATGTCCGCATCCTTATTGGGGGTTGCGAAAACCCAGAGTGTGTCAACACCAGGAGAGGCGGGTTCTGGGGAGCATTTGATGACTCGGAGATCACATCCCACATACAACCATCTGAGCCCCGGCACATAATAATGAGGGACCAGTTACAGACAAGTGACATTTCCCCAGATGTATGCAGGAGTCCTAACCCTTCACAGTGAATAGGATCCCGGATGTTGCATTAATGAGTTCATACCAGAGTAGGATGGGTCCTAACCCCAATCTCTTTAACTGTCATCGAGTTAGGTCCAACTCATATTAACCCTGTATGTAAGGAGCTCTGGTAGCATAGGGGTTATGAATCGGGCTGCGAACTGCAAGGTCAGCAGTTTGAAACTACCAGCTGCTCCGCGGGAGAAAGATGAGGCTTTCTGCTCCCGTAAAGATTTACAGCCTCGGAAACCCTGTACTGGGTTGGTATGTATGGGTCACAACCGACTCCATGGCACTTAACAACAACAACATATAAGGTTTCCAAGGAGCGACTGGTGGGTTTGAACTGCCAACTTTGTTGTTCAAACCAACCTAGTGGTCCAGTGATATATCCCGCAGCACCACACCAGGATTCCAATCCCTTTAAGTGATGCTGGACAGATACACACATATGCACCAGGGATACCAGAGAACTTCGGGGTCTGCCGACAAGGAAGACTCTCACCTATAGCCGACGCCCTGATTTGGAACACTAGCCTTCAGAACTGTGAGGTGACAAATCTCCGAACTTTTTTGGTTTGGTTTTTCAATTGTAGTTTGGATGAAAAATGCCTGTCTTTTAGAGCCGCTGACTTGTGGCCTTTGGTTACGGCAGCAGGAGGCATGTAAGAGGCATGTCGTGTTGGGCAGCTTTTCCACATGAAGATGTTCCTCATGGCAAAGCCCATGTCTTGCTTTCAGACAGAGCACAAACCATGCTGCCAGAGTCGTGAGCTAGACACTGATTCACAACCACCACCCAGTGTGTGCAGGCTGGGAACACTCTGACCTCTTGAGAGGAGATCATCCTTCATGGTACCTCTGGATGAGTTCGAACCACCAGCCTCTCAGCTAATTGTTGAGCACTTAACTGCTTGTGCCACCTAGGGACTCTGGCATGATCCACAGAGGCTGCTGAAAGCCTGGTGCCCACATCCAATCAGCAGAGTTCCAGCCCACCACCATCTCGCCACCAGCCTCACCCAGGACCGGGCCACAGGTAGCATCATGGGGAGCCTGGTACAAATGCTGGTTCTCAGGTACCTCCTCTGCCCCATTGGATCAGTATGACCACGGTTGGAGCCTAGGAATCTGAGTTTTAGGAGCCCATTAGCAATGAATATTTCAGTATCTTGTATCCTTCCAGACAGATAGCAAGTGGGTGGGTACATACTAAAATACGACATGACAGCCATTTCAAAACGTTTGTCTCTTTCACAACAGACCCATCTTGTATGTGTGGTTTCTTGAAATTTCCCTCATCTGTGTCTTTTTGAGTGTTCAGCCCTTCTTGTCATCTTCTCCACTGCCCCACCCACCCAGCAGAGATAAAACTGGGGAATTAAAGTCGGACCAATTACACTGCTGTCCATAGACTCTTCACTACTTTTATTCCAATGTCCCTATTTGGAGCCACAAATCCCCTTGAGAAGGAAGCTACAAATCCAGTTACTCTTTGCCTCAGACAAACAAAGACAGCCTGCAGCCAGGGCAGGGACACAGGGAAGGAGGACTGCCTGCCAGGGAAGGCTGGGGCCTTGGTGCCCACACTGCCAGGACAGGGCTCCAAGGCAGGACAGCCCTCTGGCTTCCTTTCTGTCCTCACCACCCTCCTATGACCACTTCTGCCTCCAGCCTTGCACATGTTGTTACCTCTACCTTCAGTCTGACACGCACGCTGCCCCTCCAACCATAAAACCAATCCCTATCTTCCTTCAAAGACCAAACTCAAGTTCTGTCTTGTGTGGCAATTCAGGTCCACCCTCCCAACCTGGGTCTACCACTGTTTAGGCAGTGCCTGGCACAGTAAGGTCTACATGGATGGAGATAAATAAGTAAATTCAAGGGTGGATGGATGGGTGGATTATTGGATGAATTGATGGATGGATGGATTGTTGGATGGATGGATGGATGGATGGATGGATGGATGGATGGATGGATGGATGATGGGTGGGGTGAGTTCATGGGTGGGTGGACGGATGAATGGATGGATGGATAACGGGATGGATGGGTGAGTGGATGGGTGGATGTACGGATGGATGGGTGGGGTGAGTGCATGGGTGGGTGGATGGATGAATGGATGGATGGATAAGGGGATGGGTGAGTAGATGGGTGGGTGGATGGATGGATGGATGAATGAATGGGTGGGGTGGGTGGATGAATGGATAGATGGGTGGGTGGGTAGATGGATGGG